TTATAGTGATCTGCTGAGATTTTGTCTTCCCTAATTCATGCTAAAAACAAAACAAGAAATAATTGACGCATACCTGACTCAGTTGTGGTTTTCTTTAGGCTCTTTGTGTAGGACAAAGCAGCACTAATGATACATTTCTTGCAGGTTGGGTTCCTCACCACCTTCGCAATCCTGCTCCATGAAATCCCACACGAGGTGAGGATCAGAGTTGTTGCTAAATTGTACAGTTTACTTTGCTTAAGGCGTATCGGAAGAATGGAAGTGCTCTAGTGTTTGTAAACACGCTGAATGTTTACCCTTTTTTTTTTTATGTGGGTAACATCATCATCTGCAGGTGGGGGACTTTGCCATTCTGCTGAGGGCCGGGTTTGACAGATGGAGTGCTGCTCGCATGCAGCTGTCTACAGCACTGGTTGGGGTCCTCGGAGCTTTCTTCGCTCTGTGCGCTCAGTCACCAAAAGGCACAGGTAGGATGGGGCCAATACACAACACACAAGCAAACGCATTATTAATAACTGGAGTGCATTTTACAGTCGCCATGTTCAGTAAGAAGACTTTCATATTGTGCCTAGAAAATGCCAGTAGCTGGATATTGCCTTTCACTTCTGGAGGCTTCCTCTATATAGCCCTGGTGAATGTAGTGCCTGACCTTCTCGAGGAATCCAGTTTCAGGTATGATGGATGTTTATTAAAGAAGTCCTTTATTAAAGTGCTTTTACTGCTACTGAGGAAATCAACAGCATTATTCTTGGGGTCTAACCAGCATGTCGAATGGATTTCAAACAAGAAGAATTATTTTAAATCACATGTTTGTTTGTTTTTATCTGTTTTAATAATTTGCATGTTTTCACAAACAGATGTTCATCTGTGATTGGTATTGCCGGAAACCGAACGTCCGGCTTTGACTCACACCACATATGTGTGTATAAATAAATAATATTTATACACATCTTTATGTGTTCTTTGGCAATAATGTGAGCCAAGATGGATTAATACATGGGACACCAGCATTTACTATCAAAACAGCCAGAGTGGGGTTTTGTTTGTTTATTTGTTGTTTAACCAAAAATAAATCTGCATGGAAAACATGCTTCAGCCTAATATAAAGAAGCCTATCAACATCACAAATAGGTTTAAATATTGAAATCTTTTGACACACCTAACTGCTTTTAGTTGCAGTAGCATTTTATTATAGCAACATCTTGATTTTGATGCGTATATGAAATTATAGAACTGAAATAACAAATTACTTTATTTTTTTTATAAGTGTGAAGTAAAAGGAAAGCATATATTAGCCTTTTTATGGGAGGGGGGGGGGTTAGGCTAGCTTTGTAACAAAGCAGCTATTTAAAGCTCTGCAGGACAGTTTCAGTCCTACCTGTGTTTGTGCAAAGGAATCAGAATAGAGGATTGTAGGAGGGGTAGTCATTCTTATGATGGGTAATGGACTCCTTGCCATGGCATGAGCTTATCAGTCCTTTGGTTGCACACCCTTAAAACAAATGGCCATTTTTTATTCCCATGCTCCATATTAATCTAGTTTTTGCTCGAGGCCACAGGGGGAGACATTGGAGATGGCTGAAAGAGCCAGTGTGTAGTTTGTGACCGATCGTTTAGTAGAATAAAACTTAGCAAGGAATGGAAAACTGGCTCTGTGGTTTCAAAAAGGGCAGATGGTTTCCTTTAATGTGCTCAAATTAGTCTCAATGTCTAAAGTTTTATTATCTTTTTGTTTGCTTTTCCAGACACTCCCTGATGCAGGTACTGCTCATTTTCTGTGGCGTGGCTGTCATGGCTCTGCTCTCTGCCATTCTCGACTGCTAATGGCGGAAACACCCTTTTTGCCTTACCAAAAACTAAAACTTAATAGCGGAGCAACATCCTGTTCTCCTCATATCTTTTACCCGTCATATATGTTCATAGAAACTTTTGTGTGATGCTTAAAAAAACGTCTGACAGAGGATTGGCACCTTACGGATGGACGACTGTCGACGGAACAAATGATGTGGACACTTCAAAATGTGCCAAACTTGGATCGTTTGGAGTTCTGTTACCAAATTGTCTTTTGTTGAACAGATAATCATGATGTTTTGCACATGTATCTTTACACGGGTACGCCTGACGTACCTGGTCAGAACAAGTATTACCGGCCCTGTACAAGGACCTCCCTCTTTATAGTGTATTCAGAGCTACATTGTTTAAATGTTTTGTGTGTTGTTACTGCTGCCCATCTTCTGTTTCTCATGTAGCTGCTGCGTATTTATTGAAAACGAGAAAACGGATTCATCAGACGTGCACCACATTGTCATTTTGCCTTGTTCAGAAATAAGTGCCAAGAAATCAGGACGGTTTAACGCTTTAGAGTCGGCTCCTCACCAAAGTACACTCGATATGCTTTTATCTCCCTAACATAACACAGGCTGCACCTTTTGTCGAGCAGAAGTCGGGGCTCGTTACAAAGCTGTGCCGGCGCCATATACTTGACTCTGACAAAGTTGAAATTAGTTCACGAGGAAGAAGATGATTGGTATGGTTTCATATTTAGTTTTCACTAACAGTTTTGTAATGCTTAAGACACATTTTTAGAAAGTTAACCATGCAGATGTTCATGTCATGTTGTTAATATAAAGTTTCCACCACTGAATAAAATCACCAGTAAATTTCCAGCATCTCTGTTTAAAGAAGCCATTTTATTTTTAACTTTAAGCACCACGCTTTAGCAGACAAGAGGAAGCACTGGGACACATGATTCAGTGGATTTGGGGATATTTTGACTGATAGAGTTGTGCGCGGGTGCTGAGACAGTGCGACGTGTTCAGCTGACCTTGTTGTCCACCGTGAGCATAATTTTACTGCAAAAGGTTCTTTGCCTAAAATGTCATATGGCAGTGTGGGGGGGTATTGATTGTGTGTTCACACTTGTCCAATTTCAACACAGTCTATTTGGCAAGCTTCTGTTGCCATAACGACTCCTCCACGGGTTGCCTTCCTTAGTCATCAGCCTGTGAGCAGCTTATTGTCTGTGGGAGCCTTCCTAAGTCACAGCACAGAAGGGCAACCACTATTTACTCTGTAGTGGAAGAGGTTTCACTGGCAAATGGTACAAACAAATCTTTCATTCTTATTCTCCTCCTTGCGTAGTTTAGCCCAAGAGTTTATTTCCTGGAGTCGGGGGGTTGGAATATGTGACAGATGGATGTTAATCATAATATTTTGATGATGTTTACACCGTCCTCTTAATAACTTCCCTTTTCAGAGTGGATTTAACTGTTTAGTGTTAAAAAAACAACAACAAAAAACAAATCAAAACATGAAGCTTTGCAAAAGCTTTTATGTTTCATAACTTTACACTGAGATTTTTTTTCTGCATCCACTCACCCGCCACTTTGCCACACTTGTTCTACTTGTTAATGCAGTATCCAGTTAGACAGTCACATGGCAGCAACTCAAAGAATTTAGGAAAAGACATGGTCAGGATGCCCTGCTTAAGTTCAAGATGAGCATCAGAGGAATGAATGAAGTGACTTTGAACTTGGCATGTTTGGTAGTGACAGAGGGGCTGGTCCGAGTGTTTCATAAACTGCTGATCTGCTTGAATTTTCCCACATGAACGTCTCTGGGGACATCTCTGAAAAAGAAAATATCCAGTGAGCAGCAGTTTCTCTGTGTGAAAATGCCTTGTTGATGTCAGAGGTCAGATGAAAATGGTCAAGGCTTCCTCGAAGTGATGGGAAGGCAGCAGTAACTGAAATAACCAGTGAACCAAGGGTTTCATGTGTGAGAGCATCTGTGAATGCACATCAAACCTTGAGGCAGATGAGCTAGAGCAGCAGAAACCCATTGCAGATTCCACACCTGTCAGCTAAGAACAGGAAGTTCACACAGGTTCGCCAAATTGGACAATGTTGCTCAGGTGATGATGGTGAGTCTCAATTTCTGTCCTGTGACATTTAGAAATCAGGTTTAGAATTTAATTTAGTGTAAACAACGTGGAAGCACTAATCCATCCTGCCTAGTTCAGGTCGTTGGGGATGTAATGGTGTCGGGGATAATTTCATGGCGTGCTTTCGGCCCCTTGGTACCAACTGAGTAACTCCACAGCCTACTTGAATACTGTTGCTGATCATGTCCATGCCTTTATGACCACATCCATCTTCTGATGGTTGCTTCCAGTCACATGTCACAAAGCTCAAATCATCTCAAACTAGCTTCTTGAACACAATGACTTTACTCAAATGGCCTCCTGGTGGAACTGGAGATTCGCCCCGTGGATGTGCAGCAACTGGGTCATACTATCATGTTGATGTGGGCCAAACTTTCTGAGGTATGCATCCAACATCTTGCTGAATCTATGTCATGAAGTATTAAGAGAATTCTGAAGGGAAAAGAGGCATGCACATGTGACATTATAGGTAGTTGGGTAGTAAAATGTAAAGTGACGTTTCTGCTTACGGGGAAAAAAATGAGCCTTACAACTTAAATTATATATATTAATTCATAAAGGCCTTAAGGGAATTCAGTCTATGTTCAATCTACTAAAGTCATCATGTCATCAAGACATGTTTTCTCCTGGGGTGCCCAGATTAAAATATGTGCTTGTCCTGGAAAGTAATGTTTTGGGATTGTAAACTATTCTGTAACAAAGCAGGGGCCCAATATAGAGTAAATGAATCTTTAACAGATTTACTCTTGCTGCTTGCTGGACCATTATCTAATACATACATGCAATACACACAAGTATATATATATATATACACACAGACACACGAATATATATAGCTCTATTTGTACCTTTATTGAAACAAATTTAATTGTGTTGGAACTCGCTTCTGAAACACATGTGATTGTGTATCAGCTGGCAGCCATCTCGTGAACATTGCCTGGATGGCTGAGTTATGAAGCCCAGTATAGAACAATTATCACTTAAAGCATGTCACATCATTTCTACACTGTGCATCGTTTCTGCTGCTGTGCAGGAACGCAGTTGTGGGAGATAAATAACAATAAATACACACATAAAAAAAACGTAGATGATTCTTAATGTGAAGGATCGGTTGCACACTGCTCAGCTGTGACTCCACAGCACCTGTCTTTTACACGTTTAGTGCAAAAGGTGACTATCCGAGCATTAAAAACCAGCACTCCCCCACAACCGAGCTGCTTTCTGTCTGCTCCCCCATCCCGCAACAACCTGGAGGAGAGAGAGCGCAACTACATCACTGCCCCTGCCTCCTCCTCACAGCGTTGGTCGCCATCCATCCCCTCTCCTCCTGTACCATAACAGATGGTGGGAACAACATTGCATTCACCGGGTACCACAACAATAGACCGCAGCATCTAGTCCGGACATCACTGGCCTTTCAGCACCATGCTCCCAGCGCGGGACTGCGCGAGGTTGTGAGTGCCGTCGTGATTTATTTCACGCGGTATCACCACGGCCACGGAGGAACCTTCTTGCGACTGTTTGGGCTCTCCGTCGAGTGGGGAAGATGGCCGCTATGAAAATATTAACGGGCACGGGGCTCTTCTTGGCTCTCTGCGCGCTGGGGCTGCTCGCCATGGCGATTTGCACCGATTATTGGTACGAGACGGACGCGAGGAGACATCGAGAGAGGTGTAAAAACTATGCCAGTAAGCGAAACGACCCGGGTTACATCTACATTTCGAGCCACAACCTCCCCCTCCAGATGCCTCCAAAGAGCCTGGAGAGGGAAGGTAACGGCCCAGATGCTGCTCCTGTCTTCAGGAGGAAGCGGCACTTTCTGGCCGGGGCGTCTGCCATGGAGTCTCACTGTAGCCGGCAGTTTAACTCCACCATCTCTGGTCTCTGGAGGAAATGTCACCGGGAAGGATTCGACCCGGAGACCGAGGACCTCATTTACAAAGGTAAACACGAGCAGTCTGGAGCCTGGCTTTTCTTGTGTGCACCACCAGGCCGTGATGCTCAGCGATGAGCTCACCTAGCCTGACACACACACACACACACACACACACACACACACACACACACACACACACACACACACACACACACACACATCCAGAGGCCTCTCACATCAGCATGTCTCTGCTTTGACATTTTATAAAACATGAGGATGGCCTTTTGGAATCTATTGTGTCTTTTAATTTAGCGGGTAATTTCGCTGTCCATGGTGCTAAGTCTCTCTCTTTCTCTCTCTCTCTATAATATTATTATAACAAGAGGATAGTCTTGTCTATAAGAGCCTAAGCGGTCTAGTAATAGTCAATATGATAAATAAAACAATTTCAGTGTGCACCAGAAGCTGAATCTTTCATGCAACTGCTTTAAATATTAGGCTACAGTAGAGACAACTCAGTGCACAGCCATCCTTCAGTGAACAACAATGAAAAGCTTTGTATCAGGCCTGATGTCATACCTGGAAAAGAGTAAGGTCCTGAAACTGGGGGACTTTTTGTGGTCCTTGTTGTTGTTGTTGTTGGTTAGTGTCACAATAAAAGTAGATCAGCATGGCTAAAACAGATCAGTAAATAACATTCATTTAGCCACAGCATGCTGTACTGAAACCAATTCACACCAAATCTAGCAGCCTTTTAGATACCTTGCAGTAATTCTGTTACATAATACTTCCCACTTTCCTCCCCCCCAACTACTATAACTACTGCCACTTATTTTACAATTAAAAACCATTTAATTTCACGAATAACACAAGATTTCAGGCTCTCCAATGAATAATTTACAGTGCATTTTCTTTTCTGCTCTCAAAAATCATCATATTGTAAGAGCAGTGCACTTACATCATTTCAGTGTTCTGTTAATGTTTCACTGATTGCCCCATTGTCCTGTAAAGGCTGACTTTATGGCATAAACACATTAGTGCGATGTAGTTTTTGCAGCAGCAAGTAACTCTGATGAAGCTTATTCAGATTTTGTCTCTGAATGGTTGTGATTCAGTGTTCTGGTTATTTCAGGCTGTACTTTGTATTATTATTTAACTGGACTGCGTTTCTTTTTAAAACATTTGAGTTTTAAACGAGCACTATTATGTTGGTTATGAGCTGTGTTCATGAGACCATGTCCACATCTTGCACTATGCATGTTGACAGACTAAACACATTTAACTTATGTTAAAAGTTCTTGCTGCTACTAGCCTCCATGCCTTTGGGATATTTACCATACTGAGCTCTTATCAGCAAGAACGGAGGTGCAGATTAGAATTGGCTCAATTTCAAGCATAATAGAACTTACAGTATTTACTATAAGTACCTGCAGAAGTAAATACTGTATGCAGTCTAAGTAAATAGATTTTATTACTCCATTTAGATAGCCCTGTCTGAGTCTTAGGATCATCTTTAACTTCAGGTTTTATAGCTTCACATTCATTTATCATGTTTTGTGCAAAGAGTGGTACAGATGGCATAGAAGAAAACTGATTATTTATAATGGTCACTGGCTATAAAGCACCAGCATTATGTGGAGAATAATAACATGTAAACCAAACTATGTCTTTATTCGCTGCAGTAGCTCTGCTTTGCCATTGGCATGTTCACTACAGTGACAATGGATACACACCAGAAGCATTACGCAGATTCGTCCGCTGTTATTACATTTAGATCTCACGAATGTATGTAATTGAACATCAGAATTGTGCTAACGTTGTTACTTCCTGCTCAAGCAGCCAAAATGTGATTACTGTGCAATCAGACGTCAACCAGTCTGTCAGATTTAAAGTGACCTTAATTAAACTCTGTCATCCTGCTTGAAGGCAAACAATAAATGATAATAACACAAATTTTAAGTGAGACAGTTTACAGAACTGCACTCGGAATCAGATGAAAAGAAAGGTCAAAGCTGCAAAGCATTTTAATAGTTGATTGTGTCTCATCTGGGAGATTATTTTCTTAATTAATGCAGACATTTCTGAATGCATTTCCAGATCTATACAGAGTATTAGGAGTTCAAAATCTTAATTTGTTCACATAGTTTTTCAGCATATGTGGAACAGAGTTTACCCCTATAGATGTTTGGACTTAGACTTTCACAATATGTGACACCTTCAAAGATTCCTTCACTTGCGTTATCAGATTAAAGCCGGGCACCGATATGCTTACGAGTAATAATCAAACTCATTGTACCGTAGCTGTGATAAATGTCTGATTTGTCCCATTTGAACTCACAACAAAGCAAAAAGGAGACTCAGGGAGGCGTCAGTCAAGCACAGTCCGGTTCACTGATCACAGCTCCAGTCATGAAGCTAAATTAATTTATGTTAATCTTCAATAGGTGTGTGGGACATTTAATGGCTCGCCAAGTATCCACAATTTTCCTTAATATGAGATCTGATATGAAAAGCAGGATCTGGATTATAGACTTTGGTTCCCAAAACCAAATGCAAAAATCAAAATAGATTCACTTTAAAAGCAGAACAGTTAACAGTTGTGGCTGTCGGTGGAATAATCCATATTCCATATTGTTTCCCTAATCCCCTCCCTTAATAACAATGTAGGAGTGGTTGGGAAAACAAGGTTAATAAGGCCAGCTCAGAAAATTAAAACCCAGTGAGGGTGGAAAATAAATAAGAAGCTTTTCTACCATGTTTGCATACACACATTATCTTACAATCCCAGAAGTAGGGCGAAGGTTCAGAATGCAATTCTTACTTAATTTTCTTGCTTGTTACCCTCTTACTTACTTGAATTAAAGGAATTTGTCCTCCAGTTACAACTGTTTCCATTTTCTTCTGCCAGGCATAATTCAGAGATGTATCCCAGTCAAGTATCACTATTCTTCGTCCATCTTACCGCGAAATTTACCCATCAACATCACAAAGACTATACGGCAGGATGAGTGGCATGCACTCCGTAAGTATTAAAGTTTTTGTCTTTATGGAGCTGGTGTTGGCTGTGTTTGTGTTTGGTGATTGACTATCTGGTTTTTGGAGTTATTCATTAATACACATGTATTTTTTCTACAAAGAATTTCGGTCAGACTCGAAAGGGTTTGGCATTGTAAATAATTGCTGTCTGATCTATACAAGCAGACTGATTGCCAAAACATTACAGTCTAACTCAGCAAGTCTGATAAGTGCATCTCATCTGTGACGTTTCTTTTTGTATTGGATACTCGACTCAGCTGGTTGTCATCTGGTGGCATTCTTGATATTATCTTGAAATTGCTGATCTACAGCAACAATTTCACTATTTGGAGGGAATCTAAATTTCTGTTTTAAATCTCTGAGGTTCTGGCTGGACTCTGAAGTTAATGTGGATTTCTGTTTATGTAGATGCGAACAGATTTGTTATTTTAACTGATTTATCACAATTATTTGCTGCATTATCACAAACAGATTGCATGTCGTTGCCAATTTGAACCCATTCAATCACAATCTGATAGCAGGCTAATTCCATCGTACTGCTGTTCAAAGTCAAAGTCACACAGCAAGTGACTGCAAGTGGTTTGCTCATGTAATCTACATCTTTGAAGCATGAAGATTAGAAGTTTATTTCACACAGTTTCCAGCCACTGTTTTTCCTAGTGTGATCATAGCATTACTAGACTAGCTTAATGATAATTTAAAAAATAAAAAGAGAAAATTAAATAACAATCTTTTTTTAGTAATGGGCTTTGTTTTTGAGTGACATTGGTGTGCACCAAGGCACTGTGTTGGGGCCTATGTCTTTTTTTCGTCAAACAAATGTCTCTATTATTACCAAATCAAAATAACACCATGTTGCCAGCTAAAGAACTGCTGGAAGTCTTTCTCACTTTTTTCTCACATTAAATCACATTTGCTTCTGTTTAATGAATATCAATACTCAACATGATGTGTAGTCGAAGGGAAAGTGGTGTTTTTTTATTGTTTGTACAACAGGATTGCTTTAGTCTTACTATTAGTGCTCTGGATTTATCATACTGCTCTTAGCATCTACATAACTATCACATACAGGCTCTTAATCATGCAATCCATAAAAACAGCTCAAGCATGCAATATTTATTACTAAGTCCTGAAACTGTTGACCTGTGAAACACCAATGAAAAATCAGAGCTGCATGAGAAAGTAAAGGATGTTTGCACATTTAATCAAAAAAAGAGAAACAGCAGCACACCTGCTACCACTAACCACGCTAGTTATGAAAGTTATCCCTGTTTTAGTCGTTGTTTTGCTACTTGAATCAACACACATTTCTTCTCTTATTTAGTGTCACTGTTTTCAGAGAAAAAGGAACTCACTTTAGACTTGCTTGCACAGCACTGAATAGCAGACAAAAATAGGAACAGGCAGTGGAACATATAGCAGCTTATCAGCTAGATATTTCCCTCTGGAGGTGGAGGAGACCCAAACCAGAAGTAAAAGTTGAACATAAGTTTGGCAGGTGGACACAGACAAACACATTTTGTATTGTGCTCTTATTTATTCTTTGTACCGACAGACAGTTTTACTGTAACTACCATTAGCTCTGCTTGTTAAACTAAAATTGATCCACTAGATGAAAGATGCCATGTTCACATAACAGTGTTTTCATCCTGTCAGTTCTTGTCAGCCTCAAACATGTCAGAAACTATTTTCATGTGAGAGGCAGTGACAAAATTAATTAGTTTTAGCAAATGAAGGTAACTTGAGCACTTCCAGAGGCTAATGTGAATTTTATTTATAAACTTTTATTAAATCATTGCTGATTTTAATAGACTCCAGCGCCCCCCGTGACACTGAAAAGGATAAGCGGAAGCACATGGATGGATGGATTGCTGATTTTTTATTAAAAAATTATGTGAAAACACATTCAACAACAAATTCAAATAGACATTTTTGTTTCTGTCAATACATTTTATTGTGATTTTTATTTGCCTTCTAGATGTCATCAAATATTAAAAGATACAACTATACATACAAGTACCCATACTGTATAAATGCAATTTAAATAATGGCAAAAATGTACAACTGCGTATAACACCAAAATCAAAATACTGTTCTTATACCTTACAGCAGCGGTCCCCAACCTTTTTTGCGCCACGGACCGGTTTATGCCCGACAATATTTTCACAGACCGGCCTTTAAGGTGTTGCGGATAAATACAACAAAATAAAACTAGTACCGGTACCGAAAAAAAGAAGATTTATTCATAACACGTGAAAAGACCCAGGAAAACCGAGTAAACGATAAAAACGATAACAAAATAACGCTGAAAACCGATAAAAACCCTGAAAACCATACATTTCACACCTGAGCCTCAACTCTCGCGGCCCGGTACCAAACGACTCACGGACCAATACCGGTCCGAGGCCCAGGGGTTGGGGACCGCTGCCTTACAGTACAGATATGATGATATAAGTGTGGAAATATTAAACATAAATATGTTTTTTTTTGTCTTTTTCCCCCCTCACTATTTCAAATGCATTTGCAAAAGCCACGTCTTTTTTCAGTCTTGCTGGAAACGTTTATGTGAAATAATCTCCTCGTGCTGTCATTCCCTGCAGTCTTTTATAAACCTATAAGCCTTAGCAAGATGCTCGCTTCGTCGCAGTGGATACTTATCCATTTCTGAATAATTAAAATACCTATATTTACCACTTTTAACACATAGCTGCCTATCAATAGTAAATGTGTTGCTGACCTTATACTGACCTCACGGTTATCAGTGTTATTAACACAGGGGCTTCTTTTCTTAAACCTCCCCTTTAAAAACCCTTGAGTAGACCTGTACTTCTTGGCATCCTTGTATCACGGTACTGTGAAAAGCACATCCTCACATGAGTCTGCAGACGAAATACAATTTTATTCAGTTTCTGTTCTTCATGACAGCCGAGAGCACCTTTAGGTTAATATGAGATAGTGAGTTGCCAGACCTTAGATTCCATCAGTAGTGATTTCCAGTATCATGTTCCACTACTTTTATCTTATTGCCTGTAGGTGTGTTGTTTTATATTCAGTACGGGTGATACAGTGCGTTGGTAATGCAGAGATGTTCAGTTAAGATGAGTTAAAAATACATCCTTGCATTTATTCTTGTTATTTGTGTTCTTGCTATATTTTTCCATTTTTATTCTTGTTGTATTTTGTTGCACGAGTACTAAATTTTTACATTAGCTATTAGAAGGCTCACTGAACACTTCATTTATCAAAGTTTAGAATTTTCTGGCAACTGTTTCATGGTTCTGGCTTAAAAAGGTTTTCTGTAAAAGTGATATCATTTTAATGCATTACAATTTTTTTGAATTGTTTAATTATATATGTAATTATTTTTACTAACAGATTGAATTAGTTTTATTTGTGTATACAGTGGGATCCTCATTTGATTTCACTGTGTGGATCTATCTAGAAGATGAGGAAAATAAGACTATTTCCTAGAAAGAACTGTGTATTGAAACTACGTAATGATGTCTTAAAACACTTCCTCTTCTAACACAGCAGGTTGTTTCAACACGAAAAAGCAGAAAAAGCTGTCCTAAAGCAGATAGTTTAGCACGAAATAAAGTTCAGTTAGAGCTTTGAATTCACTGATTTCTGATTTTTGAATATTATATTGATCTATATTAAGTTGTTTTATTGGCATTAGTTAAATCCTTGACACACGAGTAAGTATATCATAGCATACTACAATATTAGTTCCTCTGAAAGACGAAACTGGACAGCCAGTTGGTTCCGTCACAACTTTGCTATTGATAATACAATTAGAAGTAAACATTCATTGGTAACTTTATTTCTAAGTTAGCATGTAGCCTAGTTTACATGAAATTGTTGATTGGATAGGTGCTAGCCTCACTTTTAAGGCTGCTGTGGAACTCCAGGGATTTGACTTTTGTATTCCCAGTAACATCATTGTACAATCTATAGTTTTGTCTACACTATCATGGTGATATTGTTTCTATGCCTGCCTCTTGACTCATGCTTATCTTAACTATTATCACAGAGTAGTTGTTACTGTCCTACTCTCCTGTGTTTCTTGTATCTTTGTTCTAACTGTGAAACACAGTGTGATTCTCCTGCCTCGCAAATAGAGCAGCAATGTATAAAGTTTATTTACAAGGCTCTACTGCACGATGTCTGATGACATTTTAATATTAGCTGTACTTCCTGTTCACACAGTTTGGAAAAACTGAAAGACTTTGCTGCCTAAAAAAGGGAAAACCCCATCAACAACAACCAAACAATTAAAGCAATGTTGTTGTTTTTTTTATTTAATTGGATGATTTTAAAACATTACATGTCTATATCTACCCTGGGAAATACTTTTCATAATTTATGACCATGTATAATGTCTCTTTGTATTAGGTTTCTGCCTGTCTAGCAGTCTGTCTACACTTATGTTATTGCACACAGGTGTGTCATGAAAAAGAGATCTTGTTCTCAGTGATGCAACGTGTTTACATAAGGAATTCAATAATAGTAATAATAATACTTTAGCTTTAGTATTCAGTGTCTGTAAGTTACGATTCCCTCGGTGAAGTTTTCGTTTCTGCTTGCAGATCTAAGAAGAATGACAGCTGGCTTTGTGGGCATGGCTGTGTCCATCATTCTTTTCGGGTGGATCATTGGAGTGCTGGGATGCTGCCAGCAGCATGACCTCATGCAATATGTAGCTGGGCTACTCTTTCTCATGGGAGGTACTGTGAGAGCACATATGCCCACATCCACACACACGAATGCATGCATGCAAAATCCAATTTTATTCACTTTATTTATTTATTTGATGACAGCTGAGAGCACCTTTGTGTTAACATGAGATAACAGTTCAATGTCCCGCAGTAACATGATTCTCATCCTGCAGTAAGATGCAGAGTACATGTAAAAATTCAATAATCGATTGAAAACCATGTAAACCAGTCCTGTTCTCTTCCACTCACACAGGAACATGCTGCATCATCTCATTGTGCACATGTGTGGCAGGAATCAACTTCGAGTTATCCCGCTATCCTCGCTACATGTATGGCCTCCCTGAAGACATTAGCCATGGCTATGGCTGGTCCATGTTTTGTGCCTGGGGGGGCCTCGGTCTCACATTGCTGGCTGGCTTCCTCTGCACCTTGGCTCCATCCCTGAGTACGCCTGCCACTCGCACAACCATCCACAAGCCGAGGCAGGAGAACGGAACCGTGTGACAGGGGCGTTGTGAAGCGATTGAACCACCGAACGCACAAACACACCCTTCCAACCTTGATGTTTAACTCTGAAACAGTTTTTGTCTGATCACCATCTCACAACACCCTCAGCATCGCCATCCCCCTTCAGTGTTCAGTGTGCCTGAGTTGTGACAGAAGGAACAAAGTAACGGCAAATTTCACACACCTAATCTTGAAAATCCCCGAGGGACCTCCGTAAAGGCCAAGAGTGACACCCACAGCAATGTTTGACTGGGACATGGCTCTAATAGCACAAATAAGACTTTTTTTCTTTTGGTTTTGATTTTTGAAATGCTGACTTTATGATGATCTAATGGTGACTGTTTTCTCTGAAGAGAAATTGTCATAAAATGGTGCTCTCTTAAATACATAAAGCCACACACAATCCCACACAAGAGACACATTTACACACAAACACACGCATACACACACACACACAAACACAGACACACACCAGCCTTTCCACATATGCTCAATTACTATGGATGAATCATGAGAGATATCCAGCAAAAGGAACAAACATCAGGCCAGAACATCCTGTCAGCATTCCTCTGTCAGTCGAGTGAAGTGTGCTGTGTTATTGTTCGTAATGGAAAAAAAAAAGAAGAAGAAAAAAATTTGGCACTGACTGCCCATTGCCTATCTTTAGTATAGCACACTAACTGATATCAAACATGAGCCCCAGGGCACACGTCTACAGCCTATACTGGGTCTAGCAGTGCGGTCAGTATGATAAAATACACAGAAGTAAAATTTTTGCCTTCCAGAGCAAATTGTTTGACACTTCTTTGACAATTATATATGTACAAATGCATCTCAGTGTAGATCCAGATCATTGTTTGTGTAAAGTAGATTTTGAATATTTGTTTTCTGTTTGCTCAGAGGCAGTGATGGCCGGCAGAGTTCAGTCGATTACCAAGTGAAAGTAATGCAAGTAAGCAGGTAAATCTGAGTAAAAGAAACACAGCATCTGCTGCACTGTCATGGATCTGACAGACCGGTGTGTTTGCTGAAGGCTGAATCATAACCTGACAGCAAGAAAAATTAAACCAAACTATGGAGGAGGTATTTGATTGCTCCGCTGTTTAACCTCATATTGGCCAGTCCTTCTTTTCTCTGAATAGAAGCGAATTAAGCAATTTTAGAAGAGAAAGAAATGCAACTTCAGTGATGCCACTAAAAATACAAGCACAATCTGCACACAGAATTCTCATCTGTACTAAGTACAATAACAGACTATATCAAACATTAGTGGAAGGCCAAACTATCATCATTTAATATCCTGCAATGTTAGTTTTAATATAAGGAAAGGAGCACAATAAAAGATCATTTCTGTGATGGACCTCATTGTCCAGCAATCAAATGCATATTGTGAATTTAAGAGTTGTTTACAATTTTTTTTATATGGATGTTAATCTTTAGAAAACAACAACAAGAACAAAATTATAAGTAGAAAAAATCCTGTTGAAGGCTGTGATGCTTGGAATTCACACAATGACTGATCATTTTAGTAAAAATATATTTTGTACCAGTAAAATGCAAATGTACTGTGTACTAGCTAACAAAACAGTACACTACACATTGTTGTGTGTGAGAGGAACAGAGGAATTCTTCATTTTTGTCTTACACCTCCAAATCCGAGGTCGAAACAAAGCACCTACAGCAACATATGCCTAGACATGTGTCTCGAGCTGTACTGCAAATACACATTCAGTTTGAATTATTTAATTTACACATCGAAAATAACTAGACTGAGAAAACTTGAAATGACAAGTATCCATAATAAGTCAAATTTAAGGAATGCGTTCTTGGAAACTTATTTTTGATTTGAAATACACCAGGTTTTCTGTATTAAGTCGGAAAATGACATATTCCATAGTGTGCAACATGGTTTGGACAATGTAAAAATGTCTGAAAATAAAGTGTAGGACTTAAAGCTGTTAAATATAAAAGGAAAAACTATCACCCTGTTAACACTACTGGGCGAGAATAACCCACAAAAGCCATTTGGTTTTTGTTTTGTTTTTTTGTAACGCTGTAATTTTTTGTTCCCGAGTCACTAGAGGTAATATATTTTAAAAGGACAAAACTCACCACCTCCACGATCCATGACTACATGATACAAGAATATTACAGCCATGATGTTTTTATAAGTGTTGATTGCCTGAGATGAATCATGAGATATTCTATCAGCTATGTCAATTAACTCTCTTAGAAAAAAAAAGGTGTTATAGTGTCTTAACAACACTGTGTGTGACGTTTGGTCATTTCACCATCACCATCAATGAGGAAATGAACTGAGGCATGATAGAAAACTGTATCGCCAGTGTCTTGTTGAATCTTTGCACTTTGCTGCGTTTCATGATTTAGTGAACCTGAAGTCTTAAGCTGGTGGCACTATATTTGTTTGCAAGGTCACACAAGGGAGCAAAAGATGATCAGAGCATGTAACAAGCACCCTGTTGTGAGTCCGCGTTTATACAGTGTTGTGAGGTCAGGGTCAATCGGCCGAGGCTCTTAATGTGGAAATGTTTCCACCTGAAAGTAGGGCATACTATAAATATGGAAATTTTTTATATCTATGCTCGCTACACTGCTAACTGACAGAATGCGACGCTGTGTGGTGTTTTAATGAAGTTTTAAGTTTGCACTTAAACTGAAACACAGTAATATACTGTAAGCAGTGAAGTGTAATGTATATGTACATGGTGAAAGTACAATGTGTTGTTCTGACTGAAGCACAACTGCACACAACTCTTTTTTGCGTATTATGGGGGTGGGGAAGGAATTAGACTTTTGCCACCACTGCATGTGTGCAGTCAAAACATAACACATGATACATTTTGAAAGCACACAGCTACCCCCCACCCCCCAGCCCCCCATGTCTCAAATAGTAAATTTCAATGAACACCAACACAAAGCAGTGTCTGTGTTTTGAAGCTGAAGTTTTGTCATCAACTCAAAACAAAAGAACAGTAGCACACAGTAGCAAGATTTACAAAGCATTACAAAAAAACAAAAAACAACGAACGTTAGAGGACGGATGAGCACCGTGTAACAAGATACTGGAAATTGTTGTATAATCCAACTTTCATGAGAAACTTAGAGAAGTACTCTGCAATGAGAGATGACCCATGAAAATGCCACCATTAAGAGTGGCTCTCATTTCAGTAGCACAGCTATTATTTTCTACATTTATACTGGTTCCATCCACTGCAGATGTTACGTGGGGATAAAAAAAAACAAAAAACAAAAGCCAGACATTACAGCCTTGCATGATCTCATTACAGTTAGTTTCTTTCAATATATGAAAAAGTGTGTCCATTTTTAATTAGTTTATTTTACTGAAATAAAACATGTAATTATTAACATGTTGTTGCTTTCTGTCTTTGTGTTTGTGCCGGGACTCTGCAGTTCTGCCCTCCAAAGTTGCAGAGCTATATGTGAATCGCTCTGTTTTAAAAAAAAAAACAAGACAAAAAAAAGCACCTTTATCTTGAAAGTTTTAATATGTGACGATCCTCGTCTGTCTGAGGCAGCAAGATGTTTTGTACTGTTAAATCTGTAGGGTAGAGGTGCTTTCTGGAGCTGAACTGAAAACAGACAGTCCAGCTAAGAGATGAATGTCCAGGAAGGTAGGACACCATCATAGCGCCAGTGTTGACACATTACTTCCCCAACTAATCACCACGGCGGCAGTTGGCCTTTTGTCACTGAGGACATGGTGCCACCTAGAGGGAGAACTTAACATTTTGTGTCTTTGCTTTTTTTTTTTTTTTTTTTAAAAAGACTTGGATGAGTAAATCTGTGTTAAAAGGCCCAAAACATACAAATAACGTGAGAAGTAAGTAAATATGAAGCAGCATTAAGAAATCTTTTATTTAGTTCTTGCAATAGCAATCAAGTCTATATTTTTTTTTAAAAGTTACAATTATTTTAAACACATATTTTTTAGAAAAAAGGTTTAATTACAGGCAAACATCCAATGAAACTCAAATACACAGATGATTAAGGAATGTGGATGTCTAAAATAAAAAAAAAGTTCAAACAAACATAAACACATTGTGAGCTTGAGAAACTGCACAAATCTAAACATGACTTTACACCAGACACATTATTGCATAGAGTACCAAAAAAAACCCTTTTCCTGAAAGAGTGTTTCACAATGAAGTATATATGGAAGCAATGATGTACATCCAAAAGATGGTGCGCTGACAAAAATATCTGCGCTGCAATTTCTTACAGCTCACAATAAAGCTGCTGAAGCACAAATTGCAGCAGCAGGAAGCGGTGAAATTGATAAAATTGTTGCCATTTATTTGCCTCCTAACGCACTGTGGCATACGCAGAGTTAAGTAAGCTTGTAATCACAGTCAGTTGCGTACTTCACACAGCTATAAGAACAGTCACATCGGTGTATAAGGAGAAAAGGTTGGATTGTATTTTAACTTGAGGTAAAATGGACGTCAGCTGTGTTGAATCACTGACCTTGAACACTTTGCTCTGATTAGGTGAGAGTTCCCGCTGCCACCTGAAGCCGGAGGCAGTTACTTCTTGCCACGATAATGGGCTCCGACCACCATGTAACTGTCAGGTGAGATGTTCAAGTTGGGTGGCTTTGGTTTGTCCTTACAGAGCCTGACCTCAGATTTACCTGCCAGCACTGCTCCTCCTTCTCCTCCTCTGCAGGGGTCATGTTTCTTCAGGTAACTCATAAAGGTCTCCCATCCTCCACCCACTCGTACCATCACGTGACGCTCATTCAGCATCTGCAAAGGTGACATGGGAGGGAATGCTGGGTAATAAACTTTCCATATATTTTCTGGCTGATGCATTTCCAGGATGTTTTTGAACTCTCAAATATATGTTAAGCAGTGCTTCACACACACACACACACACACATAATCACATACACGTGTGTGTGTGTAGCACTGGCTATGAAAGGCAAATGATGTCTTGGAAAGCTTTGTCAAAATCTCATTAAGCCAAATGAAACAGCTCCTCGTGGAACCAGCTGAGCACACACATGCACACACACACACACACACACACACACACACACCGTGACGCACAATGGCGCACCCACACAGATCTGAAACACAAGCCACCTAGCAGAACTATTTTAAATGATAATAATTGCAGCGTTACCAGTCTGTCTGTTAACAGTAGTTACAATGAGGTCAGTCGTGTCTGAATCAACAAATCGTACACAGACAGCCGTCCTTACAGCTGAAAACCAACTGCTGCCATGGCAACTAATGCCACAATATAGAGCCTTGGAGAAAAAAAAGCAATGGAAGGAGAAATTGAGATGAGTTCGGCTCAGTCCCTCAACTCCCAGCAGACATTAACATTCCCAAGAGGTCCTGCAAAGCCATCCGTTGTTCTGTCAGCGCCAGCAACCCCCCCACCCACCCCCTGCCTTATCAGCAATAAAGCCTTCATTACAGGGCCATTAAGAATGCGATAATACAAGCAGATCTCCTCGCTTTATGTATGGAAGTGTGTGTGTGTCACGTGTATGGGATGAAAAAGAAATCAATGGTACAAGCACAGACACACGCACACACGCAGGCGGGAGACACGGGCGGCTTTAGAGGAAACTCCAGACGTGGTGCGTCTCAGCTGTTATCCTGCAGATTAAACTGTTGAGGTTGACAGGGGTCAAGTCTGACATCCTGAATAAACCACTCTCCTGTCACACTTCCAGGAAATATCAGTGTGACTGGTTATCATTCTCAAAATGTCAGTCACAATACAAATTTTTAAAAAAAACTGTCTAAACACAGTTGTTTTTTTCTTTGTCTTCATTTACTGTCACTGGACTTAACAATGGACTGTCTAAGCTTAAACGTATTAAAGTGAAAGATAAACTTAGATTTGTTATTTGATGTAGACTATAAATAGCTTCTGCAGTCTACTATTTTCTGGGTGTAATTTTTCAAACATGGACCAATGTTGTCAAATAAAAGACCAACTTAATCATCTAAGAAGAAAATACAAAAATGAAACAAGTCAGCATCTTTCTGAAGGAGATGATCTACCAAAGCCCTCTTTGTTATTTCAGGCTCCTTTATTTCTGTCTCTGTAACCCCCGCCCTCCTCCCCCTCCCTGCTATGTCTGCAGCCCATAAACTAACGTCTGGATTCCCTTGTGTCCTCCATCGATTCCCTCTCTCCCCCTCTCCTCCTGAAAGATGCATTAGTGTACTCAGGGAAAAGGAGTCCTCTATACACATGCCAGTAGGAGGCAGGCTTTAGCCACAAGCGCTGATTTTGATGCTGTGAGCGCGCTCAGTTCTTAAATTTAACAGCAAACACACAAATTGATGAGCCATACCGGTTCTAATGCCATTAATCTGTTTCGCCTGTTGTACTCGGTTTCCCCTTTACTAGAGATCTCACATCAGCGAGACCTCCTTATTGAATACAGGGTGTATGTCTAGGTGCAGACAGTATAATAGAACAGACAGAGCCATAGAAACCCTATAAGACAGCACATTGATTAGACCATTGCAGATTCTGAATGGCACTAAAAGGTCAAATTGAGATATCTTGCTAAAAATAACTCCTCATTCGCCAGAAGATAAAGCTTAGTGACTTTAGTTATCCCCAAATCCAATACAGTAAAGATGTTCATCAGATTGGACACACGTTCATGATTTGGAGGACAGTTTTGGTGATGAAGATTTGCATAATCTTAAATTTACCTCTACAAAGCTAATGTCGCTCACATAAGCCTCAGCTACATTATAATGTTTACTAAATCTGAGCTTACTAACAGGTAAAACGATGACAACAAAGGCAGTAGATTTGGTCCGAGTACAGGTTTCATAAATTTTTCACACATTCCTTGTTCATCATTTCTTCACGTTCCACTGTTATGTCAAAGGTCGGCTATAGAACAAAGACCACGTGGCTTCTGTTGAGTCAACGTCTTTCTCGAGAGCACTTGAGAAAGGAAGATGATGAAGTGTTTCTATGAAAACGATTTTAATCAGCTATATGTGATCATGAAAAAAAAGAGTGCTTTTTAGGTTCATCACTATATTAGCATGATGTGTCTTAATATTGTGAGGTGCTATAAATCTCTTTTCCTTCCATCAGCACAGCCAGACGGGGTCTCTGCTACAAAGCTGAACGAGAGCCTAATTGGGCAGAGAGAAGAAAGAGAAGCCTTCCTCTTTTTTAACACCAAAGAATAGCAAAGCACTCCAGGGCCAGCGTGATTGAATAGAGTCCAAAGGGAATAGAGAGAGAAGGGGAGAGAGAGGCGGGGTAGAAAGTTTACACGTGAGGAGGGGCGGTCATGCTCAGCCGCTCATTAACAAGCTGTCTGATTAAACCCATCGCTAATGACTTTGTCTTTGTAATCAATAGTATCTGCTCTTTAAAAAGGTCTGTACACACTGAAGGGTACACTCCCCTAGGAGCGACACGGGGGTTATCACGCTATATGGAAATGGAGGTTTATGGTGTGTTTCCCCACTCACGTGTAGGCAGCTGTGGGTTTCAAGGTAATGGATGGCTTACTGATCACTCTATTCAAACAGCTCATGTTTGTCTGCTTTTCAGCAACCGGGAAAAAAGGAAGCAGTGCAATTTATCTACAAACTAATAATTAGGGATGAAGACGTGATGCAGGTTCAAGGACAGACGTTATATCTGAAAGACTGCATAAAGAATGTGAGCACACAAGGCAGTTTTGATAGCATAGAAAAGCTTTAATCTTGCTTATGCATATGCATTTAGCCAGCCCATGATTTGGCTATCATGCATCTGTACTTCCTCAGGTTTCTAAGAAGTGGTGTTCCAACATATGTTATATCTGTTATGATATGACAGATATGATTCTCTAAATAGGAAGTAAGAAATATGCATTCTGACACTAATGTCATAATGTAGCTGTTGCAACAGAACTTATGCATCTAATAAATTTCATCTCCTGAACAAACACTGTGATCCAACCTGTGAGAAACCTTATCAAGATCTCACCTTTTAGATTCCCAGTGATTATTTTTATGTTAAAATGATATATCGTGTACTCAGAACATACAGCAAGCATCAAGGTCACATTTTCAGTTTTTATAGATGGAGGGATGTATGAAAGACACTGAAGTACATCTTTGTATTCAAAACCGTACCCACATACATGCACTCCCGAGTGGGCTGCCATTTAAAATGCGCACCAGGGTCATATCTTTGCAGAATCACCCTGAAAGAAACATGTTTATTTTTCTTCCAGGTTTGAACTCTTCACTGAAGGTCTATGTACTGAATACAATCATTGTGAGCCCATTCGTATCCTGACCACTGGTTGCCAAGCAACCCTGCCTCCCCATCCTTGAGCCTTCATAACACATGCATACAGATGGAGGATGTTTCAGGGAGGCTGAAAGACATCAGGGTCTCCATCCCAAGTGATGCAAATCAGTCCCTCTGACACATTGCACTTATTGCTGACTCAACTCTTGATTAAACATTCACACCTCATATGTGATTATGTGTTATCTGTGACAAATGCTCCCATTAGGTGTGGTTTATTATTTGTCTTTTGGTATCACAAAGCCTCCTGTCCTATTAGCAAACATACTTCAATATTTTATTTAAAAAAAACAACAAGTTAAAAGCATTGTCATCAAACTAATGCAATGTAAACCGAACTTCTATTAAAAATATATATTTACATACTACTTTATTATGTTTTTATACCCTTACCAGCCACTTTATTAGGTCCAGCTATTCACCTGCTCACTAATACATATCAGCCAATCAAATGGCAGAAACTCAGTGTATTTAGGAATATAGACTTGCTCAAGACAGCCTACTGAGTTCACACTGAGCAGCAGAATGAGATAGAAAGGTGATTTAAGTGATTTTGAAGGTGGTGTTGTTGTTGGTGCTAGACTGGGTGCTCTGGGTGTTTCAGGAACTGTTGATTTACTAGAATGTTCCCACACAGTCTTTACAGAGAAGACAAAATATTCAGAGACCAGCAGTTCTCTGGGTGAAAGTCAGAGAAGTCTTGTTAATGTTAGAGGTCAGAGGAGAATGACCAGACTTTGACCTGAAAGGAATGCAGCAGTAACTCAAACAGCCACTTGTTACAACCAAGGTATGCAGAAGAACATCTCTGAACAAGCAACACAATGAACCTTGAAGGAGATGAGGTACAGAAGTGGAACTACATAGGGTACCACGGCACTGCTATGTGGTCAGCCAAGAACAGGAAATTGCGGCTATATTTTGCACAAGGTCACCAAAAACCACTGTCCTCAAATGGCCTCCATAGCCACTGGATCTCAATCCATTGAGATGTCGTGGAACAGGAGATTCATATCATGGATCTGATAAATCTGCAGCAACTGCATGAAGCTATCGCGTCAATTTGGACCACAATTTTTCAGGAATGTTTCCAGCACCTTGTTGAATCTATATCATGAATAATTAATATAACTGTGGAGGCTAAAGGGGGTCCAACTCAGTACTGGCAAAGTGTACATAACAAAGGGTCAGAGAGTGTATTTACTGCTTCTATTATGTTGGCTAAATTATCTAAAGAGTTGTATGGAGGATCTCAAAGTTACTGCATGAATGTGTCAAAATACAAGTAATTTTTAGGAGAAAGGGATAACGGAAACATACTTACTCGTATATAAAGAACTTTGTCCCCAACACGGTAACAGCCCTTTGGTTGTTTCTCAACCAGGAAGGTGATGGGACAACTGCAGGGTGGATTTTCAATAATGTTTCTTACCTATTACAGATTCCACAGAGAAATCAAACTCAAAAAGAGTGTATTTTAAACAGTGTACCACTGAGATTAATTTCACTGGAAACAAAATACGCACAAAGTCATCCAAAATGCTGGTGCAGGAGCTCCTCCTGATGGTTGACTTGTTTGATGAGCGAGGAGTCAAGGCTGCAGGTGGGGAATTAGTGGGAGGTGTAGCTGTCGCACGGTGGGCGTTTATTGCGGTAAGGCAGACTTTGGTGGTGGATTCCAGGGTTTGGCCTGGTGAAGGCGCTGATAGCGGAGTTGAGGCAGATGTGTTAGTGGTGCAGGATGAAGGGAACAAAGGTGTTTGTGTCGAGACTGTGGTTGTATAAGGAGTACAGGATGAGAGGGGGGACTGAGGAGGGGATGAAAACATAGTTGCTGGGTTTGTTGTGGCTGATGGAAGATCAGAGGCAAGCGAAGCAGCGAGGGGTTCAGATGGACTGGTTGCCCTTGGAGTGAGGGGAGCGGGTGCAGGGAGAGGGGGAGAAGGGGCAGGTGGTAGGGATGGCTGGGATGGTGAATACAATGAGAGAGGAGGAAAAATGAAAAAAGGGGATGATGGAGATAAGCTCCCTGCCTCCTCCCTCTGCATCTCGCTCTCCAACTTAACCAACCCCGGTGGCTCCACGCCGTACCTGAAAGTGAAATTTAACAAAAAAATTTGCATTTGCACAAACAAATCAACACAGGAGAGAGAACATAGTGATTTTCACATCAAGGTGCTTAAACTCTTGGAGATACTTCAGCAGTTATCACTTAGTTTTTTTTTTTAAAGTGAGCACCTAATGCAGCTAGAAATGAAAACTTAAGAGGTGAAAAGTAATGAATGAGTTGCTATAGCAGTGAAAATCATCATCAAGGATAAACAGAAAATGAGATGACAAGAAAATTAAATATAGAAAAGAAAATTAAACAGGAAAACATGCAGCTATTGGCAGTAGAATGAAAACAATGATATAAAAAGAATACATTTCATTTAAGTGTAATGCAATCACGGTTTTATTTTTGGAGCTGCTCTGTGGATGGACAGTTGGTTATTCCTAGTTACCTGGCTGCAATCCGTCCCAGCTCCATCAGGCACAGGCACACCTCCCGAGGCTTCTTGTGGAGGACTTCAGGCAGCACATGCGTGACGTACAGACAAAGAGGATACAGGGGTACGAATAAAAAAAGGTCACTTATCTGAAAGGAAAGATCTTTCCAGAGATAAGCTTCTGTTTTTGTAAAAAAAAAAGAAAAAAAAAAAGCGGGGCCTGCAGCCTGAACATAGAGGATATGTTTCAGGAGGTATTCTGTCTCTATTGTGCATCTCTCTCTTTGAACCAGGAATTCCTCAGGGCCCTGGATGTGCTGCTGAGGGCATGAAGGCATGAAGTCATCAACAAGTAAGCCACTTCAGTCCATTATGGTTTAGGAAATAAAAATAACTCTACACTCAGTTTGTGTCAGAAAACATTATTATTAATTTGTTATTTGTCAAGATGACAAACGTTTGAGTCCAAAGACATCACATGAGCCACAGCATTCACTTATGGCAAAAAAAAAAAAAGTTATACAATCAGCAAACAGCTGCGTTTCTATTGACTCATCTGTTTTGACAAAAGAAAGAAGTTTATATCATCCCCCCTTTGTGTCACTGATGAAGTAAACTTAAGTCTGTCAAATTGTGGTAACTGTATTTTCCCACTTCCTTCAATTAATCAAGTGAAGTGGGTAACTTTGCCTGCAGGGGAGACTCATTGTTGCTGGTGGGGATTAGCCTGTACATTATCATTCCTACGCATCTGCCACCTTGCAGAGACATGCCCATCTAAGAAGTGCAAAATGTTCTTTCTTAGACTTACTTACTGCATTTAACTTGATTAAAACTGGTACTTCAATTGGACTTGACTGGAGTGAGATGTGAGATATGTATACTTCACTTTTTCTGAGTCACAAACATTGTATCACCGACTCACTGGACTGTTAATGTTTAATTTGAAACAATTGGTAGTAGTTTTGCAACTGTTACTATATTATTGTGCAAATGTTTATACATGGCAACACAGTATATAAGGGCAAAAAAAAGGATTTGGACTTGTTTGAAAGTCAATATTTGGTATGACCACTTCAATACAGCCTGAACTCTCTCAAGCAAGCTTTCTTGTAATTTCTTTAGGTCGTCTTCATGAATAGTTCTCCTGGCTTCTTGAAGGAAATTCAAAGCTCTTCTTTGGATGATAGAAGCTTTTTGTTCAGTTCTCTGTCAAGATGATCAAACGCTGCTTCAATAATGTTGACGTCTGGGCTCTGAGGAGGCCAGTCCATGGCTGACAGTGTTCCACTGTGTGCACCTCTATTGAGGTATGCTTTTACTGCACTGGCAGTGTGTTTTGGATCACTATCATACTGAAAAATGAAGCCATTGCCAGTCAGACACCTTTTCAGTGCATAGTGGATGGATGATTTGACTTTTTTGTGGTTATAATTCTATCAATTTTGACAAGATCTCTGACACGGCTGGCTAAAATAAAGCCTCAAAGTATCACTGGGCCTCCATCATGTCTCAGTGTCGTAACTCTCTCTCAAATGCTAAGGATTTCAAATTTGGATTCGTTACTCCGTAGGACCTGTTATACTTTATTTTCAGTCCCGTTCTTGTGTAATTTGGCATGCATCAGCCTTTTCCTTCTGTTTCCCTTTCTTAAGAATGACTTCAGTGAACAGTAGATGGAACTAAAGGTCCAGATGTATCTCTTAGGTCCTGTGTCAGATCAAGGTCAGGACATGACTTTCAGATACTGTTCATCTGCTGTACAGTTTTGTTTTTTTAGGCCTACCGCTTCTTCTTTTGTTCTCCAATTGTCCAGTTTCTTTAAGGACACACTGCACACCATGCTGAGATACAACATGTTCATGTTGATCAGTAATGTGCTGTAAGTGCTGTGAGGCATGATTCACTTGAGCCTTGTATTGTTAAAAGAAACAAAGGTCTGAATTTCTCTGCTTCATTAGGTCTTAACTCACCCAAATCCTCAGACTCGAAAAGGTAAGCCTCATCAACACCAATCTTTCGACACCAGTAGAGGAAGTTGGCCGTGTTGTCCCTGGCGAAAAATGATCCAGAAGTTGCATCAGCTCGCCAGTGGATCACTCTTCTTGTGAAGACCTGTGATTGATTGTTTTCAACAAGCACATTCACAGAGAAGCAGTGGAAACATAAGCTCTCATTTCTAAGAAGCACACTGACTGGCTTTATCCCGGATCAGTGTTTCAGGGTACACAATGGATCCTGTCCAATGATCAACAATAGAAAAGCCTTCTTTAGTGAGTTTGAGCATAAACACACTGAGTGGAAGAGACAACTTCCTCTCCACTTGCATTATGCCAGCATTTGGTGTGCAAGGAGGGCATATCAGGGGTAAGATCTTTACAAAGCACGACTGTAGTAAGGAGAGGCTTACTGAAAGAAAACATGAATAGACATAACAGACATAGACAAGCACTGAATGAAATGCCAGACATTATCACTGCCAACGTCGGACCTGACCTAGTTTCTACCTGAACTCTGACTGTTCTTAAGTTAGATTTCATTTGTTTTGTTTTTATTTTGTTGTTATTAAAATGACTCACATTACGTGTTTTTACATTAGTCTTATCTTCTTTTCCGTTTGGTGTGCAAATAATTGTGCACATTACTTTGTGTTGTCACATCACCTTGCCATTGTTGTTGTGCATCATCTTGTCCTGCAGCAGCTGAGCCAGCTCACAGAGCAGAACGCCATTATCCAAACTCTCCATCAGATTATCTGCTGTGAGGTCCACTCCTGGGCAGAATTCACACATGACACACAGAAATGTCACAACTGTAACTCAGGATTGTTTGCTTTTTGCTTTACTCAAAAAAAGATCTTAGAAGTCGATCAAATATGTTCCTCTATTGTTTTTTCCAAGAGGATCTTATCCATTTGTTTTCATAAGAAGGATTCTTTAACAATCAGATGCACTCAGAATAATCCAATATGAAATCGGTAATTCTGGATTATACTGTAGCTGAGTGAAAGTGAACATGGGTGAACCAAAGTTTGAAATAATAATGACATGATTACATCAATTTTTTTCAGTCATTATGTTTGATTCCAAACATAATGACTGATATATTCACACATTGTAAATAGTGTTAATAATATCTTTTAATACTTTGAATTCAGATTGAGTTTTCTCTAATCCACACATTTCTTTTAAGTTGGCAACACAAAGATCTAGTAACACCTTGCTATCATGATTGACTACAACCGTCAGTTTCTTGTTGTCAGCATAAAAGGATTTGTTTGACAGCACTTATTGGATTGACTCAGAGCAATTGGAAAGTCCAAGAAACTCAGCGAAGAGCTAAAAGGATTATGGATTTACACATAATAGGAAGGTCTCTTGGAGACATTTCTAAACTACTGCATTTCAATGCATTTAAGTACAATTTATTCAGATGTGTCACCACTCTGCCAAAACTGTCACTTTCAGATGAAAGGAAATTGGTTTGGATGTTCAGGAACACCAAGGTTCAACCCTGCAATGAACTGGGAACTGCAGGAACACCAGAATTATTTTCCACAGTGAAGCAAGTTTTACACTGAAATGGACTAAGAGAGCAAAGACCAAGAAAGAAGCATCTGCTCAGAACTGAAGCTTGTCTGACATTTGGATAAGCCAAATACCTTCTGGAACACTGTACCAGCTGTCAAGGACTGGAGGATGACTTCCAAATTCTTCAACTTCACCTCAAATCAATAGACCTCAGTCTTATTGAAAATTTGTGTAATTTCGACCAAATATCAAATATTGAACCAGAATTAAGCCAGAAGCTTGTTGATGGCTGATTGAGGCGCAACTTGCATTTAACATTTGTTGGGCGTGTGACTGTGTGGATTAGAAAAAAAATCCAAACTAAATTCAAGATTTTGTAGCCATGTTTTGTTTTGAAAGTATAGTATTATAGCTAGACTGAGTCCCAGCAAAATCTAAAGGTTATCTATGGATCATCCAGTTGAGTACTGCAGTGCAATACTGCAATATTTTTTTGCAATGCTTTTTATTACAGTTAGTTAAGAATTCTGCTGCAAGAAACAGGGAAAACGAGCATACAGTGGGGCAAAAAAGTATTTAGTCAGCCACCGATTGTGCAAGTTCCCCCACCTAAAATGATGACAGAGGTCAGTAATTTGCACCAGAGGTACA